ACTGATTTTATATATCTTAGTTACACATATACATTGTGATCAGTTGCAGATCTAAAAACATTTTATGTATTAATTTCAATAAAGTTAAAATTTCCGATTCACAAAAACATATTCACTTACTTTCTCACAATTTTTAGAGTGAAATTTTTCTATTCAATTTATATATATTATGAATGCATATTTTCTGTTACCTGTATTTCGAGTGTCTTTCAAAGATTTGTGTACGTGCCCGACAACAGCTTCTCCAAACATTGTGGTTTCTATGAACGCATAAAAAACAAATGGATTGTTACTTGTGATGTATAAGTTTTTTAAATTTATAATTCTTGAATTTAAAAATTTTAGATAATTGTGAAATGTGAAAAAAATATCCATATCCAGAATAAATATAATTTACTACATACATATATATATTTTTAAAGATTAAAGTTTTAGCAAAAACAATTAAATAGAATTGTATATGAAAACTTAATCAATATTCTTCTCTAAGACTTCTCTAATACGACTTTGTATTCTATCAAATTAAAAAAATGCTATGTATTATATAATTACAAGATTATAGTTAGTGCTAGATTCGATGTTTTGACAAAGTGTGATTTTTTGCACGTTGAAAGGTTAATGCATTTTTTGTTTTAATTCTTGCATTGCCATGCCAAGTAACGGCACTGCCGTAAACATCAACCTCTTCTTGAGGCCTGTGTTGTGCATGTTAGCTGCAACGTTTCAAAACTTCTTCCCTTGATTTTTCAATGAAAGATGCGTGGAACAATTTTGCGCAACTTTATTCTAATGATCTTGAAAATGAAAATAATATTTCAAACATTTTTTATTTACAAAAAATAATAAATAAACCAAATAATTTAATAAAAATTCATAATGTTATTATGTAGGGCAGCAATTTGTACAAATATCCATCCTTACAAAATGACAATTAAAACCCCCGTGTGAGTCCCGTATTGGTGTACAAGTGTAAATAATTACATGAAACTCAATTTTTACAAAATATATCATTTACAACACTGTTGTTCTGTTCTTATGAGCTCAGTGCTTTTTAAACTGCTCATTCAAACTGTGCTACTGTCATGCCGCTAACTATTATAAATCAGCTGTTCAGAAGAAGTGGCACCATAATTATTTAACTAATTTTTGTGCTTGATGCCAACTTTAAAAATGAAACTTAATATTGATATCGATTTCGTAAGTACGTTAATTTAATTTTTCACAAGTGTATTATTTTCTGTTTGCATTTCAGCCAAAAGAGGATGTGCCGTATGAGGAAGAGATCCTGCATAATGCACTGGTTGAAACATATTGACCACAAAGCTAAAGCACTCAACAACGGTGTTAATATAATGTATAAACGAGTATTTAAGAAATTGTCTGGCTGGTACAAAACATGTACGTGGACGTCCATTGAACGACCCTATGTATGAAGAAGTCAATAATACGTTTGAACGTGCGTTGGTTTTTATGCATAAAATGCCACGCATTTGGATGGATTATGGTACTTTTATGACTTTGCAATGTCGAATAACACGTACCAGATACGTTTTTGACCGCGCCTTACGTGCTTCTAAACCCCATCAACGCCAGCAATCAAAATCCGGTATCTGGGCCCCACTCGTAATCCTGAAGTTTGATACGTCAGTCTTGACAATAAAACCGAAACCGGTGCGAGTTTATAGGCGATACTTAAAATTATGCCCAGATGAAGCTGAGGAATATATTGAATATTTATCTGAAGTGGGCAAATTAGATGATGCGGCTCAGCAGTTAGCTACGATTGTAGATAATGAAAATTTTGCTTCAAAATTTGGTAAATCAAATCATCAACTTTGGAATGAGTTGTTTGAGCTTATATCTAAGAATCCGCATAAAGTGCATTCACTGAATGTGGATGCCATTATTAGAGGTGGCTTGAGAAGGTATATAATGAGCGATACAAATGTTTTATATATATAATGGTTGTTCCCTTTAAGGTACAGACCCAATTGATATTGGGACACTTATGGAACTCTTTGGCCGATTACTACGTACATTCTGATTTGTTCGATCGTGCACGTGATATATACGAGAAAGCCATATATACGGTTAAAGTAGTATGAGACTTGACATAAGTGTTCAAGGACGCAAAGTAGGAGGTTTCATTAAGCAACCTCATTGCTAATTTTAATCTTCCATATCTGGAAGTATTCCACCAAGAGGTCTATATTTTCCTGTAAGGTGTTGCTTACGCTGTATGTCAAAAGTTAACTTACCCCACAATAAAATTACAATCGAAGTATATCATTTTTATTGATTTTTATTCATATATTCCAAAACATAAATTAGATAGTTATTAGAAGATCAAGCAATTCTACGTCTCCTCTAAAATCATCAGTTTGTCTTTTGTTTATGACATCATATATATCATATATGATATATGTTTTATATCAGTATTGGCACCATAAATCTTGTCACATAATCAAATTTATATTTAGGATTTCATAGTAATTGATTGTGGGAAGAAGTGAAGTGCTAATGCAGAAACTGTTATTGAGAATTGAACTTGAAAAGTCTTTAGTACGCAAACATCTTTAATATTAGAAAAACTGTCAAATATTTCTTTAATAAATATGTTTGAGCTTTTTTTTGAGTTACTTGTGAAATTGTTATCAAATTTTGAAATAAATGAAATATAAATTTTATTTAGAATTTTATAGTTATTGTTATCGTTATTGTTTGTAAGAAGAAGTGAAGCAGAAAATTTGAAATTTTCTAGTGTAAAAGTATCTTTAAAGCTAATAAAATTATATTAAACCCTTCTTCAGTTAATATCGAAGCGAATTTAGAATTATGTATAAAGTGCTTTTTTTGGGTTACCTGTTGTGTATCGGACTTATTGTTCTGCAAGCGGAGGGTGAGTTGTTTGTACATAAATCATCTTTTACACTTTATTTATTAAATTTTAATTACGGTCGTTAAAACTTATTTGTCAGATCCTCTTTGTTTTCATTTCTCTTGGATCAAAGAGGTAAGGAATAAATCTATAACCTGCTCAACTACTCCAATATATGATATGTATTGCGATGGCCCATTAATAGTGACAGGTATGTAAATCATTCGATCATTCGTGATCATTCGAATTTTTTCATAGTCTATGAGAATTTATGAATAAAATAATAAGTTATATATTTTATATGTTTTATTTATTATTTATATAAATCAATTATTTATAATTTACGACACACATTTTTGAAGTTTGTTTTTTAAATTTTAAAAGACTTTTTACAAATAAATTTTTTTCATCTCAACAAATGTTACTAGTCTAGTCTGTAACTAGACGTTTAATAATCCTATCAACAGTATATAGGTCGTGTGCGAGTTAGGCTAAGTTGATGCTAAACCAAATGGGAGATTTTTTGGGATTTTTTGCACTGCACACATTTAGCTATTTATCAACTCGCACACGTCCTTAGTTTGATTTAAATTTAATTTGATTACATATTAAAAATATATTTTATATTCGAATTCCATATATTTTAGACAATGGTAAACCACCAAATACAAAAAAATTGTGGGAATCTTATAAAAATAATCCTGGAGAAATTACATGTCCCATGGAGCGTGGTATGGTTTGTGTTAAGAGCATATTGTCTGAAAATAAGAAAGGTAAATTTAAATTAATTTCATTAAAATTATTTATTTTTAGTTATTTACTAAGGTTTTCAAATAAAAAAATGGTAATCTGCTATATCTGATGTGTGCACGCCATTCAGTCTTGCAAATTAAGTTCGATTAGTGTTTATTCAGCTTAATTACTTCTCTGACTGCCACTTAAAAAATATTTTTTAATAGAGTATTACCTACTATACTTAAGACATGTCCGAACCATATATTAATTCAGTGAACAATATCAATGTAGTAATAAATCTTGTTCAGCTTTTGGTTCAAGTATATGCGGTAGACATCACCAACTCATATAGGATCAAAGATCTTACTTTACTAGAATGCTTCTTAATTTGTAATAACATGTATACTTTTTCCTCATATAGAAGTTATGATGAGCGACATATGAAGTGCGGGTTTTGTGGATCGAGAGAGAGAGAGAGTATACTTTATTTGGCCATAGTTGCACCTATTTGCAGTAGTGGTTCGTAGACATCTCTTCAAACTAACATCGTGGCTG